GGGCTCCGTGTGGTTCCCACTGGACTAGAGCACCAAGCCTTTCTCTGTCTGCAGGCTCTGCTGAAACCTGGCTTTTGCCTGTAGGGGGTCAGAGGAGAACTGCGTGCTGTGGGGTCTCAACGGCTGGTTTGTGGCATTGGATCGCCAGGCCTCTCTTCCGCGGCATCTCCAGGTGGACTCAGAACTTCCCATCGTGGCCCTTTGCGCCTGGCCCTGATGCAGTATCTCTTTTGCGCCTGCAGGGGACTGCCAGTGGACAGCCTTGGCGAGCAGGGTCAAGGGAGGGTTGGTGCCCAGGACTGAGCGTGTTGGGGGGAGGTAAGTGCCTGAGAGAACCCCTATTTTTCCTGAAACACCGGACTCGGTCCCCTCTGTGCCTCCTTTTGCCAAATTAGGGACCAGGATTGCTGGGGTCCCGGCAGTGGGGACCAGAAGGGCCGGGAGCCTGGTAATGCGGAGAGGCCTGCCCCCACGCATACACCCATCACACCCTCCCCTTCGCAGTTCCTTAGGAATTGGATTCTGCTTTTGGTCAGGGAGGCAAATCTGAGGTCCAGAGAGAGTGCAGGGACACCCATACCACAGCACACTTGGGACCCAGAGACCCTCTCACCACCCATCCTGTTGTGCCTGCAGGGTTCTCACGAAGTGCTTCACATGGGAGTCCCTTGCTCCCGGAGGAAAGGTTCTGATCCCCAGAGAGGGACAGCCCCTGGGCTTGGGCTTGCCAACTGGTCAAGGCAGGATTTGCACCTGGGGCTGTGAGCACTCCACGCCCTGGGCCAGGCCCACGGAGGCCACGCTCTGGCTGGCCAGGAAGCAGCAGCTGCCTTCCAGGGTCCCAGCTGCAGAAGCTCACCCACGGGCACACATGCAGACACATACTTAAATACATCTCCCACACACATATGGACATGCACATTACATGCATGTGTACTCACTCACTCCCTGCTCTTGGACTGATGCCAAAGCAGCCCTATAGGATAAGATCGAACTTCCCTCGTGAGTTTCTGAGATGGGTTCTGTTTATGGGGATAGGTAGCTCCTTCTTTCTCCTGCACAAATGTTCAGGCATATGAGTGTATATTAAACACACTTACATACCTCACATGCATATACATGGACACCACATACATGCAGGCAAATATCATACATGCATAAACCTCACACACATAGACAGGTGTGAATCCTTCGCCCAAGAGAAAGAGTTAATTTCTTGTTCTGCATGTACAGACAAACATCACACACATGTATATACATATTCCACACACTTACATACAGATGCACCACCCTTGTGCATACATGTATCACATATACACCTCCTCCATAGATACATATACATGCACCCCTTCCACTATGGACATGCATACATCACCCATGTACACACATTACACACATCGCACAGTGTACATACACACATCACACACCTCTCATGCACCCACACTACATGTACACATGTGCATATACCCATGCACAGACACAGATTGTACACATGTACATCCCTCCCACGTATGTACATAAGACACACATACATACAGACTTCTCAAGCATATATCTCACATGCATACACACAAGCAGAAACTGACACCTTGCATACACACACACACACACACACACACAGAGGCAGCCAGCCATAGCCCATCTACATGTGCACACCACATTTCACCGCAGACACACGCCTTCCCGACACACACCGCACCCTCGAACAGCAGGAGCTCTCTCCCAGGCCTCTGTGGAACCTCAGAGACCACCGCCCAGGAAGCATGACCCTCACTCACCTTCCCTGTGAGGCTCAAAGCACGCCCCTCTCCAAGTCCCTCAGGACCAGGCCTCCGGGGGATGCGTGCACCGTTCCGAAGAAGCCAGGCTCCTCATTGAATGGGGTGGGAGGGCTCATCTTGAGTCCATGTGAGTCGTCCCCAGAGGACACGCTCGTTTCTTGCTCTGTGCTTGGTTTATCACAGCCGCCACAGCGGAGCTGCCTGCATGGTAACGTGACCTGCAGCATCCTCCACAAGGGGGTGGGGTGGGGGGGAGTGCATGTGCCGCCCTGCTTTGAACCTTCCATTGCCTCTTGGAGTTCAATGCGGTCCCCTCGTAATTTTGACAGTCCACACACACGCACATCCATGCAGACACATACCCACACCCCAGAAACTCACCTACACACACACACACACACACCCCCCACACCCCAGAGGCCTTCAAAACCTAGCTGGGGAAATGTCTTCAGCTTTCCATTCCATTTTTCCAGGGGCTCTTTGAAACCTTTCCATATCTCCACAGACCCAGACGCCCACCCCCACACATTACCCCCCACGTGCACCATCTTGCTTATACCCATGCTGAGCCCCCCCACCCACACACATGCATCCAGGTCCCTCCCACAGGCCCACATACATATATCCACACACACCGACGTGTTCCAGGAAGCGGCTTTCCGATCCTAGAGTACTCCCGTTCTTCTCTGCACCTCATTTCCATTGATTCCCCCCCAAACCCTACTCTCTCATTCACTGCTGAATATCAGACAGACAGACCGAATATGCTAACTCAAGCTAGCGTGTGGCTGACCATCCTATAGAATGCTGACAGTGAGATGCTAATCAGCAGGCTTCAAGAGGCCCTGGTGGTGCATGGATTAAACATCAGGCTGCTAACTAACTACAAGTTCAGTGGTTCAAACCCACTAGCCACTACGAGAGCAAACAATGAGGAAGCCTGCTACCATAGAGACTGTCAGCCTCATAAATCCTAGGAGTAACCTACCGTGTCCTATAGGCTTGCTGTGAGTCAGAACTGACTTAAGGCAGTGGCTTTGATTTGGGGATGGTATAGTGCTTATGTGTCAGGCTGTGAACCACACGGCCCACATTCTCAATCACCAGCAGCTCCATGGGGAAAAGATGGGGCTTTCTACTCCCATAAAGAGCTGCAGTCTCAGACACCCACAGGGGCAGTTCTGCCCTGTCCTGCAGGGTGATTGTGAGCAGGAATCGACTCAATAGCAGTGAGAGAGGTGGGGGTGGGGTGGGGACGGGGGGACTAATCTCTCTGAGCACTGGAAGCAGCTGGTAAACCTCAGAGGCATTTCTGG